CTCGGCCGCCCCGGCTTCCGCGCAAAACTTCAAGCCCGGCCGCGTGAAGTTCTCGCTCCGCTTTCGGAGCAGGAAGGAGCTGGGGGGGAAAGCTGGGTACTGACGGCCGCGGTGGCTGGGCGCGCGCTCTCTTCTTATTTTTCCTGTCGTCGATCCGGAGTTTTGGCTCCTTTCTTTTCCTCCTCCCCCTCGTAGCCGGCTTCTCCCCCCGCCCAGTCTCTCCCCAGCTTGTGTACGCTATTTGTTGGGGGGGGGGTGGCCGAAGGGGATGTCCTCTTTTCACCAGAGGCACAGCGCTAAGGGGAAACTTCGACACTGGAAGGAACGAGAATAAATACCTAAATACGGACACACGGATCCGTTGCTGGGGCAGACACTTGAACTTCGGGATCCCGAGGCAGTCTGGGCAGCAAGAGGTGAGTGCTTCTTCAGATCCCCATCCTGGGGCCCTTGCGGCCCAGTTGAGGGATCCCGCAAACTCCCCCCGGAAAGCGCGCGGCTCTGCTGGGGGCGCAGAGTGCTGGGGACTGAGGACGCGCAGCGGGACGGTGTGTGGGCGCCCGGGGCCCCGCGGGGGCTTGATGGCTGAGTGCCGCCTGCCCCAGGGCCCGGGTCACTCGGAGTGCAGCGTTGCACTCTGCCCTGGAGGATGCCCCGGCGCCCCGAGGGTCCCTGACGAGCCTTTCTGTCCCCGGCGGAGTTGTTGCGGAACTGGATGCACTGCTCTACATTTGCACCCCGTCCTCGCCTCGCAGGGGCGCGCGCCTGGGTGTTCCCCGCAGCCTTCTTGTGACATTTATTAATTTGTGATGACCCCCTAGATAAGTCAGACACAAGGATGCTGACCCTAGTCCATTGGAGGTATTCATAGTACTGGTTTCGTGTATACATTCTGTGCTTCTGGTCTAATCTCGAGGCACCAACAGGGCTGTTCGACTGCGGCCGTCCCAGTTTAGTAGTTTTTATGTGGCGTGGACCATGTCTCCTGCAGTTTGCCAGGGTCCGTGAAATGAGAGGCGCCTTGTCAGAGGAGTCGCGTTCATTGGCCTGGGACGCGGATGCCGTGGAGGGATTATAACTTCGCCAAGCGGAGGAACCTGGCCGGGGCGAGGAGGTTTTCTCGTTACAAAGCTTGCTGGGTCTGGGGTGGTTGTGGGACTTGAAACGGCTCGCTGCTTTAGCGTCGTTCAGCGGATTTTGGAAGTAGATGCGCGTACTGTTTTATTTTGCTCCGCACAGCAGCTAGGACTTTGTTTAGTAGCACTTTCAAGATGCTTCTTTCTTTTGTGAACATTATTCGAAACAGGTTGGAGCTATTAGGGGATTTGCGGACCGAGTCCCGCGGCAGAGTAGTGGCGAAACCGGAGACCGCAGTTTAATTTTTGTCACCCCTTCCCTAGTTGGAATGGCAGCGTCTCCCCTCGCCACCACCTATCTTTCCCCTTTCCTTGAAAGCTAATGGGGTTCATGCTTTGGGTGAGTGCGTGTGTGGGAGGGTGTCGTTTGTAGACGGTCTTTTCTCCTCTGGCCGCCGGCGTCTCTGCCCTGCACTGCCCAGCCGGCAGAGTCATTCATGAATCTCAATCTGAGGGCAGAGGAGGTAGGTGCAGGTCCCTCGGCCCTTTCTGCCAAAGTGCAGAATAGCGACGCGGCGTGTGTTTTGGTTGCAGAGCAGTTCCACGTGGAGCACCTCCGTGTGCGTGTGTGTTGTGTACTTGATCTGTGAGGAGGTAACAGGAGTCTCGTGTTCAAACCCAGTGGGCCGTTGGCCATTAATTTGCTTTCCTGGCTGTCATTACAGACACTTCCAAAATCTGATACCTAAGAGAACCAACAGGTTAGGTTTCACATTAAGAGCTCATACTTAACAGTTTTCTTTCTCTCTTACCCCTTTTGGCTTGGCACCCTGGGATCAACGTAATTGATGGAGCGAAACGTATCTTCTCGAATATGGCATTTTGTTCCTCTTCTCATCCGCGGCCACTTTTTGCACCCTCGGGCGTTAGTCAGTTTCGGTGCGCGCTCCTGCGGGACTTAGATGGGAGTCTCAGGAGCCTTTAACCGCTGCGGGCTCCCCTTCTGCAGCTCCTGGAGTTTGACTTGCACGTAGGTGACTGATAGTATTGAAAGTTGAGAATGGGTTTTTGTCTGTAGGATTGTTTTTGGTTTTATTTTAAAGACTTCCTCAGGACAAGGAGATTGTACTTGATAATCTTCCCCGGGTAGAATTAGGTTTTAAGCAGAAACACTGCCCTTTTTTTTGTCTTTTAAAATTCTTCTGGCCGTTTTATAGTTGAAGAACCCAAAACTAGGAAAGGGGATGGGGAGAAAAATCCTAAAACAAAGTATTTGATACATAGTAGGGTGCATTATAACATTATCCCAGGAAATATATAGCAGTAGTAAGAAGAGGCAAACTGTTTTGTGTGGAGCTAGACTGCTAGAATCTGATTTTTAGGGCAACGATACCAAATGCAGATATAACTACGTTCATTTTTTATTGTTATTATAAACCATAAAAATAGTTTGTTCCGCCTCATTAAAAGTTGTAAGCCATTCATATTTAAACCAATTTTTTTAAAAAATGGCTGTAAAAGACAGTTAAAACCTTTGACAGTTACAGCTTTGAAAGTAACATAATTAGATTATCTGAAAACTGTTCCTTTTTCCTGATTATTAGGGATATATCCTTGTCCTTCATAATAAGTAAAGGTCTAAAATCAATGCAGTTTTCAAAAATTAGTTTTTCTTTGCCAGTTACCTCCTGAAAATAGGATGCTCTTCAACATTTTAAGGGCATCAATAATTAGAAGTTGTTTCACAATTATAACTGAAATAAAAAGATTTCTTTGATGATTCTTTTTTTTATGGATATGGATTTATTTTACTGGATATTAGAGACTTAGTTTCTCCTTTACAAAATGAAGTTTTTTGTATGAATATATTTAGCAAATATTTATTTTAAGTAATCTGTTCAATTTGAAGATTTAAAAAACCCTGAGATTTGTATAAAAAGACATTTGAATAAAAACAGTCATTTTTAAGAAATGCAGATGCTGCATTCTAGAAGATTTGTAGAAGCCAGATCAAAAAAACTGTCTTTACATAAAAGTTTCTTTTTTGAGGGGAAACTGGTAGATGAGTAGTTTGTCATTTTGCTGGAATTTATTTTTTCTTTGGAAAAAACCTCTGAGTTAAATGAAAAGAAAAATAACCCTCCATTTCTGAGAGGTTCCTTTTTATTTATATTGTGATGTGAGGTGTAAATAAATTTTACATAGCCACGGGAAATGGAGTGTCTAGTTTCATGTTTTCAATCTCTGTTGCAAGCTCTAAATGACTGATGCCATGTCTAAAAATATATTTATGTGGTTTGGTATTTCATTTTTTAAAATTTTATGTACCGAAATTAAATTATCCTGAATTTTTAGAAAAGTAGAATGGTAGAAAAACCATGACTATTGTTACGAAAAGTCAGGATGTTGCAAAGTGCACATTCTAACTCTCAAATAATAAAATCACACTTATTTCACCCGGCAGCTCACACTTTGCATACAGAATTCAAGAAGAAGGGAGATAATCCTTTTCAAGACTTAGTGAAGTGTTAAGTATTTTAAGAGTGCAAGTATTTATTGTATTTTCATTATCTTTTTTTTTCCCCTCTGTTAAGTAAATGCAGGAACACTGAACATTTAGTAAAAACAGGCCCCCCTTTATAAGAAGTTTATTCACCATAGTTCTGTATTGCAGCTGCTGGTCATATTTCATGGAGCTGTTAAAGCACTTAAAACCTAAAATTAGGTACTGTCTGGTTGTAAATATTTCAGATCACTCATCTAAGAAACAAATAGAAGAGTGTGTTATCAAAAGTCGTTCTGAATTCTCTCACTGAAGAGCTGAACAAAACATCTATCAAACACCTTGTTATTTTTTTCAGTGAGAATATAATCATGACAATTTCTTTTTCAAGTGGATAATATTCTTACATACTCTGAACGCTTATGTGTCTCCCTGCAGAGTATCTTAAACTAATTGTATTCAGAAATACCTTTGGGAGATTTTATTACAAGTTACTGGGTGAATGCAATCAACACCAGGCGGAATAGGATGACTTTGCAGTGTACCTGCTTCTCATGAATTTTTCCCAGTGAGCTAAGAAATGACATGCTCTTTCAGGCACTTGTCCTAGAGATGAGTGAGATGCAATGGAGTATTTAATTGCAGTGTGTGTGAGACTGCATTTTGCACTTAGATGTATTTTAACGTGAGGGACACCCAGTATGCATTAAATTGTACGTGGAGCTGAACTTGGCTTCACTTAGTTTGAACCTGAGTGGAAGAAAATAAACAAGAATCACATATTCCAAAGCAGCATAAGCAACTTTGATTGCTCGTAAGAGGTCTGCAGGCTTTGTAAACATTACTGTCATGTAATATTGCTTGTGGCTCTGCACTTTAGGCTATGCCTTGGTGATACGCCATTTTCCTCTTGAAGTTTGTGATTCTTAGCACGTCCCATCCATGTTTCTACTAGTAGAGTAGTAGTGAAAATGAGTACCACTACCCTTACTCCCCTGATTCCTTTTCTCTCTTCCAGAAGAAGAAGTGAATCGATGAATTTAAAAATTGTAACCATTTTGAGTTATCAAAACCACATTTCTATGGTGGTTTAAAACAGTTTCAGAGAGTGTACCTCTAAGTCTCACTGTAACCTTTCCTGTCATTGAAAGGTGCTAATTGATCTTAGGGCACTGACATAATAGTATAGTTTGATATTCGAAACCTTTCAGCATTGGTCTGGCCCTTTTTTCACCCTGAGATTTCGGTGCATGGCTGATGAAGAGTAACACCATGTTAAAATGTCAGGAATTCTAATTTTTCCCCCATGTGAAATGTTGGGGGAAATACAACTCATATTTTTAAAGCTTTTATGTATGTACAGTAAGTAAATTTATTTTAATGTGCTTCTGGGCTATGAGAGAAAGAACTATATTATCATGTTAGGATTTTTAAATCTCATTTTTTTCACAGGTTGATTTCTTTTGGGTTGAAATTTTTAGGTAAAGTCTGAATGCTGTGATTGCATTTGAATACATTCAAAGTGAACTGCATTAAATCAATATATAGAATAGCCATCTTAAAATTTCATATCTAAGGTATATTTTCTTATTTAGATCTTAAAGTATAGTTTAAAATAAAAATTATCTGTTCAGCTTTTGTATCGTAAGCTTTCTATTTGTGTAAGTAATCATCGTTTTTATCATCAGTTGTTATCATCATCACATCCTACCTGACATTTACTGAGGATTTACTTTTTGTGAAACACTTTAGGCACTTTACTATTCCCATTTTACAGATGAGGAAACTGAGACCCAATCACGCAGTAGAGTGGAGCCAGGAAGTCAGCTCTGCAGTC